TTCATATATATCTATACATACATATATATATATATATATATATATATATATATATATACACATACACATTTATTGTTATTCTTACACAAACATTCATATGTGTAGGAACACTTAAGTATAATAAATTATATTTGCAAGCATAAATTTATATTTATGTTACTTTTTGCAATAAATTTTGATTAGACAAAAATCATAAATATTAGTCAGATATTATGATATTCCAATTAGTGTTATTTTAATTCATAGTAACAGAGAAATGGAAATGATTAAATTCACTAAAATCCCTAAAAAAATATTAGATAGAAAAATGGCTGAAATATATGTTTTTTTTCCTTGACAATAACATCAAATATGCATCAAGTCAACTCATTAGTTTTGTAGGTGAATGCATGTTATACTACATCGATATCTTGTGATAACAGAAAATGTACTTGATATTTTACATAACAATTCAGATGTAAATAAAATATAACTGTAAGGACAATATACACAAAAGAAAATGACAAAAGGAAAAGAGTCTCCTTTTGTCATTTCTTTTGTATTTGACGTTTAGCATTTTGAGATCCTGGCGTAGTTAACTATTTGTAAAGTTTAAAAAAATATCAATGCTAAATTAGAATTCAAAAGCCTATAACTTTTTAGCTAAAAGCCAGATTTAATTCTAATCTGTATACTTTAATTTTGACAGTGAATAAAAAAAACTAAATGAATAAAACGTATATATTTATTCTATCATTTTGTTCTTTGTTAAGTCTGGTATAACTACATGCAGGATACAAAAGAAATGCCAGGCATTTTGGTCACAAAATAGCTGAAAAGAGCAAGCACTACACAATCAATTATGCAACCTCCCTTTTTTCAATAAAAATCTGCCACTGAATTATTCTCAGTTTTAATTTGACTATTTTATAATGTAGTTACATTTATTGTTATTACTATAATTGTTATTATTTAAGTATTATTAGTATTTTAATTATCATATAATTCTGCTTCTTCACCTGTTAGTAAGTTAGTTAGCAGATGCATTACACTCTGCCATTACCTCAACCTAATAATAGATCATTCCATTTTGATTGTGTGGAAATATGGAAGAATAATATCAGAAACTCTTTTCTTTTTTTAGTGAGAATAAAAAGCATGCATCATTATAACAAAGACAGAAAAGATAGAAGTAATGCTCCTGTATATATAACATTTGCTTCAGGGAAATAAGCAACCTTTTTAGTTTTGCATCTTTGTATCTGTATCCTCTTACTTCTTTAAATAAAGACCAGCATTTATACTTGTGATTTTTATTGGAATTTATTGTTAAAGTTGTTGAGCTTAAATATTTAATGATGCATAGGGAAATTTCCACAGGTATTTTTTGGGGGTTGAAATCACAAGGAACTTATTCAGTCATTAAATCTAGAATTATAGGTAAACCATTAAATTTTCGTGAATACTGTTGGTTATTCTTGTTTTATTACAATTCTGAGAAGTTGCTGTAAATTTCAGTGTCCAGAGAAACCCTTTCAAAACATTTTGATATTTAGTGATGGTTTTGAAAATTCAAACTGTTTGAAAACCTTTCAGTTTTTTTTTATTTGCTTATCATTATTTTCAATAAATTATTTTTTCTTAAGGAGATTTTTAAAGATAGATTCTTCTTCATCTAAACTTTGTCTTAGGGGTAATATTTAAAATGAGTTTGCAAATTAATATTTTATCAAGAACAAATGAAATGAAAGGAGTTTCTGTTCAATGTTCTGATTGAGATAATGAAGGAATTTTAACAGGATCTCTCTTCATTCAAGTTTTGACAGTGACAAGACCTGATGTCTTTGTAGTTGATTTTCTGGGACACCTTATTAATAAAATAAAAAAGCTTGATTTCATATTGTTTCAATTTTCTCCTTAATTTCATCATTTAGTTTGCCTTAATATTCCCTTATTATTCCTTTTTTATTATCATCTGAAAGGGATTTTTTTTCTCTTGCTGTTTTTATGCCCGATTTAAACTGATGATTTTATTTGTTTTATTTTATAATATTGCAAAACTGGAGAATGTGTAGGTCATGTAGCAGTGTGGAATCAACAAGCCAGGTTCAAGGTGTGTCCTCTTCATGTTCATGCTAATAACCTTGGGAAAGACATTAAACCAGCTCTTCTCCTTCCAGTTATGAGTTAAATAGAAGTATAGACTTGACTCACTAGCCTTGAATGGCAACCAGTCTAAGAGAAAAAAAGAACTGTAAAGAAGTAGAATTGCAATGTGCATGCCTCTTACATCACACCTTCTCTATTAATTCCTGATAGGTCTTGCAACCTGTCAGTTCTGAAACATCACCTCATATTTAGCTCTTCTTTTAGCATAAGTAGTGAAATTGGATCCATCACTGGCTTGATTGGCTTGTCAAATTCACCTGCAGTCACCCAACTGATAATCGACCAGACTGAGCATTGCTTTCGTTTGATTGAACAAGAATTGGTGTTTCAATGTGATAGGGTTATAACCACTTTTTACTAAAATATTAAACTAGATTTACAATGTAAACAGTTTTATTTCCTAACATATAAAACTAGATTTATAATGTTCAAAATTTTATTTACTCAAATATAAAGGTAGATTTATAATGTTAACAACTTCATTTTTTAAATTATAAAGGTAGATTTATAATGAATACAAATTTCTTTACTAAACTATAAAGGTAGATTTATAATGAATACAAATTTATTTAAAGGTAGATTTATAATATATACATTTTTATTTGTTAAAATATGAATGTAGTTTTATAATATACACATTTTTATTTATTAAATATGATTGTAGATTTATAATGTGCACATTGTTACATAAATATAAAACTAGATTTATAACTTGGAAGCAACTGTCGAGTTAAAAACAAAATCAATTTTTTGCATTATTGCCAACAAAATAAATACAGAATTGCTTGAAAAAAACACCTGAAGACTGTTGAGAAACTGTAAAATAAGCAGCTCAGAGAAAGCAACTAATGCAAGGTTAAAACATTCTTGAACCTATAACAGTCCCTTTTATTTTTTTTGTGCTTCTGTTCTTTTTGACTGACATATACCTGAGTCTGCCAAACCTGGCTCTGCATCTTCGCTTTTTCTTTTCCCCCACAACTTGGCATATGTCATTCAAGCACCGAAGAATAAACATTTTTCTCGGACCTGCACTGGAATTTAACTCTCTGTTCTGATTGACTGTAACACTCAGATAGAAAGACTGAAAGCTTTTCTTCATTGAAGCTTGTCAGGCTCCATCAGCCGACCAATTTTCCTATTCTCCAAATAGGTTCCTCTGTAAAGTTATTGTAGATGAGTTTTGATTTAGGCACACAGACACTGTAATTTCGAGTTAAGAATGTGATTGTTGTAAAATTGGAATTTCATGACGATTGAACATTATCTGGCCTCAAATTTTCTTCATTTTTGCTGTATTTTGGGACATTTTGATTGAACATGATTATGTTATAAAGCCTGTCTGTAATCAGTGTGATATCTTTGATCATTTCTCATTTCTTTCTTCAAGAATGTTATCAGTTCTCAAAAACGAATTTTTAAAAGAGATTCAGCTGCACTTAAAGATTAGAACTGATTCCAATAAATTTGATTAATTATTCTCCCTCCTCAGTAATGTTCCTATTTTCTAATTCTCTTTTACCCATTAACACCCATCCTGGGTATGATAAACTACACCTGGTACCAAGGACTCTGATCAGGAGGATTTGAGGAGCCTGGAATCCCCTCAATTGCTGTTGTTCTCAGGTCCACTCAGATCAGATATCGGCAAAGTGTTAACCCCCACCCAAACTGGACTCAAAATACTATGAAAGTATAAAAATAGATTTTTTTTATTAAAAATACCAGCAATACAATTTAGACAAAAAAATATTAACAGCAATAAACCAGACACTTAACAAAAACCCTGTTTATGAAGATACATCAAAGAAAACCTGATCTACAAACAGATTTCTTACAAAGAATACATATTCTATTCATACAAACCTATCCTAAAAATTTTGTCAGCATTAAATAACCCATTTTTGATATGATGTAAAACAAAATAAACCAAACCAAACCCAGTAACACCTTGTATCTTAGTGGCTTTACTGCTTTTTGAATTCATGTCTTGGCCTGTAGATTAAATGAAGGGTTAATTTTGATAATTACCAAAGGTTACCTGGATCAAGAAGCATCAGATAAAAGTTGAACTCTACAATGGACAAAATCTTTTGACAATAACGACAAATAGCTTGCATGTAAATGTAATGATATCTATGTACACAGACTAGATTATATGGTGGTGATGCTCATGTTCATTGTTTCTGAGAATAATCCAGTTAGGACAGTTGCTGAAATTTCCTCCTAACTCTTAATTTGTGAATATTTTACGATTGATTTACTTTCTACAGCTTGTCATCTTTTTTGGAGATAATGATTTAGTGATACAAGATTAGTAATTAACCCATAAATGGAGGCAGAAGGGGTAGATTTATACCTTTCCCAGGGATATTTCTGTGCAAGTGAATATAACAATGACAACCAGAATTGGAACTCTGCTCTTCAATTGCAATATCTGTCTATATTTCTGAGATGAGGTATTATGTAGACTATTTACATTATTCGGACTATTGTCCTCATCTTTGTTGCCATATTTATTACAAGGAAACACAGCACAGTGGATAAAAGCGTTAGTTAGATTCAGTGACAGGACCCAAAAAGAGTGAGTTCAGTACCTGATTTAAGTAGTGGAGAACTAGGAGAGGGGAATTAACAAGAGATAAGACATGGCACATGAAACTAGAACAGTCTACCACAGTGAGCAAAATTAAGGGTTCAATTTGACATTCCAGCCACCTGAAGAAGGCCAGAGTGTACAATGGCTGAAACATTGTAATAAATATGGTGACAAAGATGAGAACAATAGTCCAAATAATGTAAATAGTGACAATTGCAAGCCATTATCCATCAGACCGTCTGCACATCTAAACTTACAGCACCTGGTATTCCCAAGCGGTCATACATCTAGGTACTGACCAGGCTCAATACTGCTTAACTTTAGTGATTGTATGGGAACTAGTGTTTGAGTATGATATGGCTATAATCTGCAGACATTCTAAGATGAAGTTTTTCATTGCTGAATATTATAAAAATATTCCAGTGACCTCTTTTATCCCAATCATGCTGTCTGTTTGAAACTCAACTGTAAATATAGTAAGATACATATTTATTAAGAACTTCTCATTTCCACCTTCTTAGTATTTTATCTGGAGGCTTCAGACAGTCAGCTTATATGAATAAAAAAAAACATGTATTTCAAGAAGAGCAATTTCCAAACTTAGAAAAGCTGAGTAGAATGTACAGCCTTAGAGATTTTAAGTTTCTGCATTAATTATACAAGGCGTGAATTTATTTTATGTAATTAATCCTTCTGTTTTAAATGCATCAAATAGAATCAATGGCCTTATTTATAGTCTCTTTGGTGGAATCTGAGGTGCAAAATTCAAATAAATATTTTGTTGTTCTCTATTCAAAATTTTTATAAAAATCTGCAGCTCAGACCAATAATAATATTTCTATTAGTGCATAGATTTTAAGCTAAGATATTGTGCACAAAAGTTAATACATCCTGGTTATGACGATAAACTACATCAAGCAACAAACCCTCTGATTGGGTATGGAACTATTTCTTAATTGTTCTTGTTCCCAAGTTCACCCTGACCCCAGGTGGTAGCACCTGTTAGGGTCCCAACTATGGGAAAATAGTGGGCCCTCACACTGGGATCAAAACACTATGAAAGTATAAAAATACATTTTTATGGTAAAACTACCAACAATACATTTTTGTAGTAAAAGAATTACCACATAACATTTTTAAAAAAAAAAAAAAAAAAAACAGGAAAAATATTACCAGCAATACATTTTTGTGAAAGAAATTAATAATGCTCCTAAGAAAATTACATTTTGTCATTGAATGACCTATAAGGAGTTCATATACTGCTAAATAAACATGCATTAATACATATCTGGAAAATAACACTGCTGCATCCTGAAAGATTATTGTGACTTTGACTTGGATACAACATGGGGAGTAGATACTCTGAGAAAATTTTCAGTCTTCCACCATCTTTGTGAAATTAGTATCACTCACACCAGTATCTGAAATTTAGACACTACTTCAAAGAATTGTTGTTAAAATGTCCGATGCAAACAAGTGACTTTCTACAGATATGCATGCACATTCCTTAGAGAGGCTTGATAGGGACTCAAATTGTGGGTCTGCAGGAGACTGGATGGCCATTTTAGAGAAATTTTGTGTATGTTGGTTGTGAAGTGTAGATTGTGCCACAATGTTGGCAACAGTTGTCAGTGTTTTGTAAAGGTTGCAATGGCAAGTTGCATGGTGTCCAAATCAGAGTAAATGGGACTACAGTATATTGCACATAGACGATTGGAAAACCTTTACAGTTTGAAACAGGGGATACCAGATTATGGTAGCCGTGGGTACCATGGCTGGTTGCAAATATGGTCAGAATTCACTTTCACATTGAAAGTTGGCTAAGCCATAACAAGCCTGGTAATTTTTCACCTAGAGTTGCAAACAGTTGGCTCAGCAGTGTGTAGCTTTAAGTCAATGACTTATCTAACCATCACTGCAGCCAACCTAAAACAAAAAGATTAAAGATATTATATTACTAAAGAAAATCTACCTCTTGACAGGAAATGAAGCCTCATTCCTTTGACCGAGGAAGTTATTAACATTTTAGCAACAGGGTATTTTACAGTAAATAATTTGAAACCAGTTAATGGATTTTTTTAACCTAGTATTGTTTGTTGATTACTTTAGTCAATCATGTGCTTGAATAGACATCCCTGAATAATACCAGTTAGATATGCTGAATCTGACAGTTTTGTCTTGATTGTACATTATCTTCTTTTCTGGCTCTTATTAAATGAGTATGAATGTCTAGATCTGTTACTGTTGTTTTAACTATAAATAAAATTTTACATGTATCAGGTTTGTTAAATTTAGTACTGATTTATGGTTGGAATTTCAGATTTTCATAATCTGATTGGTAAAATAGTTTGTTGGATGTGTCTGAAAGAAGAAAATAATATTAAAATGGTTTAGAAATGTAATAATCAAACTTCAGTAACATTTTTTTCCATTTTGTATATTTCAGTTTTTGTTGAAGACTGGATTTTAAAAGGAAATATTTTCCCTTTGAACCAATCAAAATTTTATTTTTTAATATTATGATTTTGTTCAATCTTTCTGATCTTATATAGAAAATTTTGTATTTTTCATTAAGAATTGTTTGAAATAGACAAGGACCCAATTTGACTTAAATATTGGTAGCTTTAATTATCATGAATATTATGCATAATTTGGATAAAATGTGAAAATACTCTCTTTTCATTTTGTCCATATTTCCTCTTGATAAGCTGTTTCAAATGGAGTAAGTAAAATGAAATGTTTGATTTGTTTGTTTAATGGCATATCAACTCCTTTATGGGTCATTTAATGCCAAAATATAATATTCTTGAGATCCTGGAAGTAATAAAATTGTGATATACATTATTTTGCTTTCACAATTGAATATATGGTAGATGACACAGCGTTTGTACATATGCATTTTTGTGTGGATGTGATTACTAGAGGCAGTGATATGTGTATTTGATGTAGTTTTGTTGAAGTTGTATTTTGGAATACAGTTCAAGAAATTGGAGGATATTATATGGATTAATGTCTTGAAAGATTTCTTTCATGTTGGTTGATTTTGTTTAACAGCATATATGCTGAATTCTAAATATTTTGGACACAATTTTATGGCTTCAATTAAACATATTTTGAATACAATTGCAAGCTTTCAAATACAGGTAAATGTATTATTGTTATTCTACTATAAAATGTATTGCTGGTAAGTTAACTATAAATAGTTATTGGTGGTAATTTTTATATAAAAATGTTTTTTTATACTTTTATAATGTTTTGTTTCTGTTTGGTGAGGTTTGTCCGTAGCTGGGACCCTAACTGGTGCTACCACCTTGGATCAGACTGGTCCTGGGAACAATAGCAATTAAAATGTGTTTTCATGCTCCTCAAAATGTCCAATCTTCCATGCTGCTGGATGTAGTTTATTGTCATACCCAGGACTAGAAGGTTGTCTCTCAGAAGAAATTCAGATTTATGTCTCTCTTCATAAAGGACATTGGCAATCATGGCCCTCCACAATTTCTCATCCTCTGTTGTTCTTAATAAATTTTGTCTTTCTCCTAAACTCTATTCTGCCTTACCTTTACTTAACCTCACTAATTAGGTCAGGCATTGTTTAACTATATCCCTCTTGTTTTCTTTTATCCTGAGGGTATCAGTTTTTTAAGCCCACTTTCCTCATTATGTGCCATAGATATTTCAACTCTCTCATTTTGATGTTAAGTATAAGGATACTTTTATTTTCATTTTCTCTAAAACATTGTCACTGCTCATATGTTTGGCCCAAGATATTGTCAGCAGCTTCCTGTAGAACCAAATTTCTGTTGCTTGAAGTTTCTTCATTATCTTTGAAGAAATTGTCAAGTATTCACTACCATATAAGAGGACTGATATTATGTCAAAGTTCAGTATTCTTTTCTTTGTTTTTAATGAAATTTTCCTGTTTCTTTGGTTAGCTTTGGAAAGCATATTTCACTATCTCGATACTCCTTTTATTATTTCAGTGTTTAAATTTTCTGTCCTCTGTTAAATTACTTCCCTGATAATTAAATTGTTGTACTTGTTTGATTTTTGTATTTCCAGTTTAGAATTTGCATATTTGGCTGTTCCTTTTACTAACATCCATGTATTCTCTCCTCTTGCAATTGATGTTTACTCCTTTCTTCTTGCTTTCCTTCATTATATTCTGTAGGAGTTTTTATAGTTTCCTTTCTGTATCTGCTATCAGCAGTGTATCATCTGAATATCTTATGTTGTTAAGGTTGTGGGTGCCATTAATGAATCCTGGCAGGATTTCTAATTCTGCTAAAATTGCCTCTTTGTAGAGATTGAATAAGTCTGATAAGAAGATGTATCTTTGTTTTACACCCTTTCTATTTTTAAATATTTACTGAATTCATTTTCTATTTGCCTGTAGTTGGTTTGTTGGCAGTATATGCTTTTACATTTGTATATAATGCTTTGTTGGCCCTTCCTCAGCCTAGAGTAATTTTTAATCCCATCAGTCATATTTTTTATTCAGGAATTTTTCTGAAAAATTGAAGGTCAATAACAGTATTTTTTAAACTGATTAAAGAATTATTTTAATTGTGCCTTCATAATACTTTAAAAGATGTGGTTTAGATTTAAAAAAAAAAGTAAATACATCAGATGAGACATCAAATTGACAAAGATAAGGATAGTCTGAATCATTCATCAAATGGATCCCCTCTCTCTCTCTCAAGTTAATTCTTTTAAGGATCTAAAGTGGATTTATAAAAAAAAGTACATGTAAAAAAAGTTAGCAAAATCTAATAATTAAGTGTATCTTATATTTTTGGTTCCTTTCTTGTTTGTTTCCAATTTAGAATTTTTTTTTTCTGAGGAGTTCTTCATATCCACATGATAATATTTTATTGCCAATGTGCCTTTAACCCAGAGGGCAGGGTCGCTTATCTGCTTGAGGGTCAGAAGAACATCCTCTATGACATGTTTGTTGCTTTTCTAATATGGTATCAGGGATGATTTTACAAAGAAAAACAATAAAATAGAATAAAAGAATAAAGAGTAAACAAAATAAAGAGGATTGTATCGGTGAGGTGCACACATAATGGGCAGTATGAACAGTGATGAGCATTGAAATTGATAAGTTTATTAGTTTAAGGTTAACAGTTTATCTCGAAATGAATGGAGCATTCCTATATGGCCAAGCCCTTGCTTGTTTAGCTGCTGATCTGAGACAAGTGCATATGGATAACTAATTCATCTGTTATTGTGTTACCATTATTTGTTTTGTTTCTTTTTTAGTGAGGGGTATTGTTTTTGATTATCATGAAAATATGTCAGTATCCACAAAACCATGTTCTCTTGGGTCTTCTTGCTTTTATTTCTTTTATGGATACA